TATGATAAAAAATGCAAATACTAGTCTCACTGTTAAAAAAATAGAGTGCAATCCCATTGAAACAAAACCTGCAATATGCCCCCTCAGATAGTATGATAAGAAGTGCTAGTTGCTTAATTAGTCTGTTTATGTAACATTATTTTAATTGGAAATGAACAGAATTACCAGAGGAATGAAATTATTGGACTTAATGCTAGAATGCAAATTATGCACACATTGGTCTACACTGTTGATCACTCCCACAGCAGATAAAACAACTGAATACTTGCCCACTCATTTATTATGTTTATAAGGGAAAAAATTGATATGTTTTACAGTCGTTTCGGCAACAAAGTTTATCGACAGGTTGTAGGTATTCCTATGGGTACTAATTGCGCCCCTTTAATAGCAGACTTGTTTCTGTACTGTTATGAATCACAGTTTATGACCAAACTCAGTAAAGACCCGTCTAAATTGCATTTTATTGATAAATTCAACAACACTTACCGTTATCTTGATGATATTTTTTCGTTAAATAATCAAGAAATTTCTCAATATACTGCCAAAATTTACCCAAAGGAACTTACTTTAAATAAATCAAATTTAAGCGGTAACAACTGTCCTTTCCTAGAATTAGATATTTCGGTTTTACACGGGAAACTCCACACTAAAATTTACGACAAAAGGGACGATTTTTCGTTCCCTATTGTTAATTTTTGCACCCTTTTTGGATGGTGATGTTCCTTTGGCACCATCTTACGGTGTTTATATTTCACAACTCGTTTGCTATGCCTGTGTCTGTTGTGACGTTTTTGATTTTAACGAACGTAATCTATGTATTACTGGTAAATTATGAAGCCAGGGATTTCGTTACCACAAATTACTTAAAACCTTCACTAAATTCTTCCACAGATATAAAGATTTGGTTTTGAAGTTTGGTTGTACCTGTAGAAAACTTATTTCAAACGGGATTGCACATCCTCATTTTTACGGCAATATTGTTTACCGTGCCCGGATATTTAGAAACGATCCTGGTAAACTTATCAATCCTTTAAATAAACTTATTCTTAAAGGTTACCAATTCAACACTGTAATCAGATCATTAAATATTGTTTTTATTGGTACTAATATTGATTTTGTTATCAGTAAATTAAAAGCAAACTAAATATTATTGTTATATACATATACACATTCATGGATCTACAATCTGTCGATACCTGTATCTTGGAATTGCACAAGGTCATGTTTTTCTCTGACTGTTTATGACGTCTTTACACTAAATCCATTGGATGTTGGATGTGTACGGATTGATAATTTAGTCTTAGATGCATGATTTTTTTTTTATTAGTTGTTAGTGGCTTTGAACTAGCTGTCAGCAACTGCGAGTACTCTCAGATCTGTACTTAGTGTCTTTTTGTTGTTTGGATGTACAACTTCCCGGCCATGTCCACTTGTATTTGTAGTATTTGTATTTTATCCATCTGATGAGTTAAGCCTCTTTCAACTGATTTTTATAGTTCCTTCTTATATTGTACTGTCCCAGGTTAGGGGGAGGGTTGGGATCCCGCTAACATGTTTAACCCGCCACATTCTGTATGTGTGTGCCTGTCCCAAGTCAGGAGCCTGTAATTCAGTGGTTGTCGTTTGTTTATGTGTTACATATTTGTTATTCGTTCATTTTTAACCGGATTTTTTAAGGAAATATCGGTTATTAAAATGGTTATATACGGCGGGCGGCTCAGGGCGGCTCTGGCGGCTGCCAAACAGCGTCCGCACAATAACATGAAAACGCTTTAAAAATTTTTTTTCAAATTTAAATATGTTGTTTCCTGGGACTTAATGAAGGTCTCTATTAATTTTCAAGATTTTAGTATATCTCCTTTGTGAGTTATCTTCATTTTTAATATCCAAAAGTAGAATTTTTAAATATTTTACTGTTGTTATCTTTTTATGATTTGTCTTATCTCAGAATAAAAATTGGAGTGACAGATTTATTTGAAAATTATCTATTTCCTAAGTGGTAATGATTATAAGCTATATCATTAGACATTTTGAAGATTATTACATTATTAATTACGTTAGAGTACTATGTTAAACAACCATAGTTCTGTTCAATTAGATATTATAAATATTTCAGCATATGAGAATGATTTATTTTCATTATTAATTAGATCTTTGAAATATTTCAGCATATGATAATCATTGGAGTGACAGATTTATTTGAAAATTTACTGTTTTCTGATTGAAATATAGGGGAAGTCCATTGGGGTAATCCCTACCCCCCTTTTTTTTAATAACTTGTAAACGGTCAAGATTCCCACCCAGAAACCATATATATTCTTGTATGGGACAATATATCAAATCAAATGAAATATAGGGGAAGTCCACGGGGGTAAACCCTACCCCCTTCTTTTTGAAAACTTGTAAACGGTTGAGATCCCCACCCCTAAACCATATATGTACTTGTATGGGACAATAAAATAAAGCAATTAAATTTAGGGGAAGTCCCCTGGGGTAATCCCTACTCTCCTTTTTTTGAGAACTTGTAAATGGTCAAGATCCCAACCGCGAAACCATATATATTCTTGTATGTTACAATAAAACAAATGAAATGAAATAAAAGGTGAGTTCCTTGGGGTCATTCCCACCTTCTTCCTGTTTAAGAACTTGTAAATGGTTGAGATCCCCGCCCCTAAACCATATATATCCTTGTATGGGACAAAAAAACAAATCAAATGAAATAAAGGGCAGGTCCCCTGGGAAAATTTATCAGTTTTTGTGTGTTATATTTGAACATAAATTAAATATATATAGGGTTCTTTAAGTGCTGAATCTAAACTTGTTTTTAATTAGATAATAATCTATTTTTATTATGAGATAAAGTTTTTGACATTGATAAGTTGCAGATCTGTATTATTTTTTGACACATGAAAGAAACAATATTAACCACTATTAATTAAATTTGATTATAATATATATGGAAATAGATATAACATGATATCTGATTTTAGAGAAGTATTTTGCTGGTTTTTTATTGGTTTATGTAAATAAGTTTGAGTTATTTGTTTTGAAAAATGATGTGTATAATTGATAGATATAAAATCATATCTAATTTTAGAGATTTATGAGTGGTTAAGTCATATCTAATTTTAGAGAATTATTTTGGTGTTTTGTTACTGGTGGTAACCCCCACCCCCTTCTTTTTGATAACCTGTAAACGGTCGTGATCCCCACCCCTGAACCATACATATTCTTGAATGGGACATTAAAACAAATCAAATGAAATTGAGGGGAAGTCCCCTGGGGTAACCCCCACCCCCCTTCTTTTTGAAAACTTGTAAATGGTCAAGATCCCCACCCTGAAACCATATATATTTTTGTATGGGACAATAAATCAAATCAAATGAAATATAGAAGAAGTCCATGGGGGTAACCCCCCCCCCCCTTCTTTTTGAGTACTTGGGACAATAAAACTAATAAAATGAAGGAAAAGGCGATTCCCCTGGGGTCACCCCAACCCCCTCCTGTTTGAGTACTTGTAAACAGTCGAGATCCCCACCCCTAAACCATATATATTCTTGTATGGGACAATAACACAAATCAAATGAAAATATAGGGGAAGTCCATGGGTGTAACCCCCACCCCCTTCTTTTTGAGAACTTGTAAACAGTCAAGATCCCCACCCCGAAACCATATATATTCTTGTATGGGACAATAAATCAAATCAAATGAAATATAAAAGAAGTCCATGGGGGTAACCCCCACCCCCCTTCTTTTTGATAACTTGTAAACAGTCGAGATCCCCACCCCTAAACCATATATATTCTTGAATGGGACAATAAAACAAATCAAATGAAATTGAGGGGAAGTCCCCTGGGGAAACCCCCACCCCCCTTTTTTTTGAAAACTTGTTAACAATCAAGATCCCCACCTCGAAACCATATATTTTCTTGTATGGGACAATAAAACAAATCAAATGAAATATAGGGGAAGTCTAGAGGGGTCACCCCCAACCCCCTTTTTTTGAAAACTTGTAAACAGTCAAGATCCCCACCCCGAAACCATATATATTCTTGTATGGGACAATAAAACAAATCAAATGAAGTAAAAGGCGAGTCCCCTGGGGTCACCCCACCCCCTCCTGTTTGAGAACTTGTAAATGGTCGAGATCCCCACCCCTAATCCATATATATTCTTGTATGGGACAATAAAACAAATCAAATGAAATATAGGGAAAGTCCATGGGGGTAACCCCCACCCCCCTTCTTTTTGATAACTTGTAAACAGTCGAGATCCCCACCCCTAAACCATATATATTCTTGAATGGGACAATAAAACAAATCAAATGAAATTGAGGGAAAGTCCCCTGGGGTAACCCCCACCCCCCCTTCTTTTTGAAAACTTGTAAATGGTCAAGATCCCCAACCCGATACCATATATATTCTTGTATGAGACAATAAAACAAATCAAATGCATAAAAGATAAAATAAATGGGGAATGTGTCCATAGGGACTCAGATGATGTCCCCGCTAGCATATAACGTTATAAAGGGACATAACTCACTAACTGTATAAGTGATGCTACCAAAATTTGAACTTAAACTGAGTTTTGTGGTAATAAGCATTATATATACATTTCATAACATTTAGTTGAGACAAACTGAAGTTGGAAACAAAAAATTCAGCAACTTTTCTATTTGTAAAAAAAACATAACTTTTGAACGGTAAAAGTGACGCCACCAAAACTCAAACTCAATCTGTGTTTTGTGGTAATGAGCATTGTGTATAAGTTTCATATCATTTGGTTGAGTCAAACTGAAGTGGGAGAACGGAACAAAAAATTCAGTATTTTTTTTCATTTGTAAAGAGGCATAACTCTTGAATTGTAAAAGTGATGCCACCAAAATTCAAACTTGTCTTGTGTTTTGTGGTAATAAGCATTGTGTTCAAGTTTCATAACATTTGGTTGAGGCAAACTAAAGTTAGAAAACCGAAACCAATTTTGGGACGTACGTACCTACAGACAGACAAGGGTAAAACTTAATGCCCCCTCAACTGCGGCAGGGGCAATAAAAAAATTCAGAGCAGAAATAATTATGAGGACAAGATTCACAAAATAATCACCAAAACAAAATCTTCAGATATTTTTTTTAATATTCAAAAGAAAATGTTTGGTTTTTTTGGGGGGAAAACTCAGAAGTACTCCATTTAAATGTTATTGCCACTGAATGTTAATCAAACAAGTAACCATGGTAACTACATGTAGTATGTTAATTTGGATACTGTTTTGTGTATCATACTTTGATATTTTTATATTTTACATCAGATTTTAGTAAATTTAATTCTAAGTAATTAATGAGTAGTTTCTAGTCATGCATCAGTGGTTTTATTTATTGTAAGACTTCTTTCTTCATGGCTCAGTGAATTTTGATCCATTGAGTATTAGTTTACTCTCTAGGTTTAACTAGTTTGTGCTATGAAAACTCTATCTCCTTTATGATAATTGGTTCATTAAGTCATGTGTCGATTTAGGAGGGAAATTCTTTTGTTTAGTCAGACTTTACTTATATTTTGAACTGATTGGAGCTGTGCTGTTCCTTATATAATTTTATTCAAATTTGATGGACATCTTTGATTTTTTTTCAAATAAGGTCAGTGTTCCATAATTAATACCTCACATGCCTTCTAATATACTGATATGAATGTATTACATTTATGATTTTGTATGAATGGTCAAAATGAATGATTTCAGAATAAAAGGTTCAAATGAATGATTTCAGAATAAAAGGTTCAAATGAAAGATTATTATGAAACACAAAAGCACATATTTATAAAATATTGGTTCAATCAGATAAGTCTAAATAATCATTTTATAAGAATTTATGCCAAACAATATTTGAATATCTCGGTTATTGCCAAAAAAATTAAAAGTAATTATGTATTGGACCCCCCCCCCCTTTTTTTTTGACATTTAATGTAAATGAATGGGGACATATGGTTGGAAACCCCCTCCCCCTTTTATCCTGGGTTGGGACCCCCCTCCCCCCCCCCCCCCCCCTTTTGAAATTGCTGGATCCGCCCCTGGAAACATTATAGCTTAAAGAAACTTCAAATTGCAAAAATGATCAACAAGACAATATCTACAAACAAGTCAAACTTGAACGAAATTTAAAACTACCGGTACTCATTATTAGAGTTATTGACTGTTTAATGATTACTTTTATCATTTTTTTTCCTTTTCTGAAAAACAATAATAATAATTTACATTTAACTATTATAGATAGAAAGCCACTTTAATAGCAAAAATGATCAGCAAGACAAGATCTACAAATATGTCAAATTTTGCCAAAATTGTAATTGCCCTTATATGACAAGTTTGCACAAACCAACACACTCCCTAGAGCCATCTCGTTGATATTGTCATCTTAAATGAACAGAGTTATCTTTCTTTGTACTGATTATTAATATTGCAGGGTCAGTATCTGATGTGTTTATTTTTATTATACTACCACAACTACTCAGTTTTGTATAAATATTCTAAAAATAATATGCCTATTTGTTTATCCTAATTGACATGTTTTTATGTTTTGCAGGAAATTTGTATTAGTAAATGAATCAAATGAAGAATCTTCATGGTTAATGCATAGAAAGGATATTTGAAGAGAGCCAATGATTGACATAAGGAGAAGCAGTTATGAATTTTGAAATTGATATAAAGGAGAGGTCATTCATCACAGAAGATTTAATCCAAGTTTACAGGTAGGAGACTTGATCGGTTGATTTTTATCAATAGTCATAAATAAAAAAGATGTGGTACTATGATTGCCAATGAGACAACTATCCCTGAGAGTCCAAATATTGCAGATTTAAGCAATGGTATGTTACTATGGCTTTCAACAATGAGCAAAACCCATACCATATCTTCAGCTATACATCTGCTTAGATATTGCTTGTTTAATTACTGTTATGTGGCAAATGTTTAATGCATATTCAAGATGATATAAAATGTTAATAGATGTAAATAACTTAAGTAGCTTCTAAAAATTTTGTAAAAATTGTTGGAGAGGGGAGGAACTATGGACAAAAGATAGGTGGTGGTGGCAATAAAATTTGCTTTGCAACAAACCATCTGCAGATTCTTCATATAAAAAGTTGTTACACAGGAGATGACCAGTTATTGAATAGAAATAGAAACATTTGCGTTCTTGTATTATCACTCAAATTTCCAGATCAGATCGAAATTTTTCTGTTAAATATATTGGTATGCAATCCTATACATGCTATAAGCATTTGCTCATCTCATTTCTATGGAAATTATATTGTACTGTTCCCTCATCATAGTTCATAATCTATGAAAAGTTAGTATCAGAAAAATGTAATTAAAAATTTAATATAGGTTCAAGTTTGTGCTTTATCCAGTTTAGAGGGAACCGCTTATAAATTTTAGTCAATGAATGGTAGTTTTGGTATAAAATTGTATAAGAATGATTAGCATTGGCATTTCTTGTCTTCATGGAAATTATTTAATCCTACATCTCAGTCTTAATTCATTGACATTGGCTATAGAATGTTTGCATTGTCACAAACAAAAAGAAGACATAGGTCTTATACTTCTTTGGCATTATGGTTTACATGTTTTATGAACAATTGCCATTTGAAATTCAGGAGTAACTTCAAGATATATTTTTTTTATTCATTTTCCATATTCTACATGGACTATTGGACTAATATTCATAAATTCCATATTTTACCTGGTATTATACTCATCAGTTTCTAGGGTCAATATTTTGACCCTACTGTATAGATTTGTATTTTACTGAAAAAACATATTAGCATAAAGGGACATAACTGATCATGAAGAATGGTAAAAGTGATGCTACCCAAATTTGTACTTGAACTGATTTTTTTGGTAATAAGTATTGTGTATTATAACTTTCATACCATTTAGTTAAGGCAATCTAAAGTAAGAGAACTATATGACCTCAAATGCATTGATTGTTAAAAAAAGGGGGGGTTCCAACCCCAGCAACCCTCCCCTGGATCTGCCATAATGGGGCCTCGGTGGCTGAATGGTGTAAGTAGTGAAACTGCTGTATCACTAGCCTGTAAATAGATATAACAGTGATATCATACTTTAACTTTGTTTAAACCTGGGCCATAAAAAAGAATATGTGTGTTTGCCCTAACGCTACCTACCCAGAAAATAGCTGCCTACTCAAACTCTTTTATTGTCCTGATGTGAAACAGTTTTTTTTAATTAGATAGGCATAAAGATTATAAAAAAACATCTGACACTTTAATTTCTCGTTGCCGAAAAAAGAAAAGAAAATGCCTACCTACCTACCCACTGTCTCTACCTTTGGGTAGGGTTTGGGCAAACCAAAATATTTTTAAGTGTGGCCCTGTTTATTTACTTTTGACTTTAATTATTTATCCCTTGTAATTTTTTATTAACTGTGTATTTGCATTCAGGTGTCACAGGTCAAATTTATTCGTTCATTATGTGTGAATTTACGTTTTTTAATTGAGTTAAGCCTTCCAATTGATATTTTATAGTGTGTTTTTCTATGTTGTGATATTATACTATTGTTTCAGAAAAGGGAGAAGGTTTGGTACCATTAAAACGTTTAATCCCGCTGCAAATGTTTGCACCTGTCCTAAGTCAGGAATCTGATTACAGTAGTTGTCGTCTGTTTATGTAGTTCATACGTGTTTCTCGTTTCTCGTTTTAATATAGACTAGATCGTTGGTTTTTCCGTTTGAATGGTTTTACACTAGTAATTTTTTGGGGCCCTTTATAGCTTGCTGTTCGGTGTGAGCCAATGCTCCGTGTTGAAGGCCGTACCTTGACCTATAATGGTTTACTTTTATAAATTGTAACTTGGATGGAGAGTTGTCTCATTGGCACTCATACCACATCTTCCTATATCTATATAAGAAGTTATCCCTGGCTCAGTATACTTCTAGGATTTTGATTGTTTAACACACGTGGTTACAAAACCCATAGCCGCTGGGTGTTAATTTTTGCTAAACCATATACCGGGCACTTGAACGTTGCTACCCAGTTTTCCTTAATTCCATGGTTGTTCCTTGTGAAATATTGAATTCTGTATATTATTCATTATGTCTAACAATGTTAGTCTTTTATGCCAATCATTTGCACTCATTTTTGTCTCGCCTTGACTGAGTCAAAAAGCAAAACATAGGTATGCTGTTTCCGGCGTCGGCGGCGTCAATAATGTATTAGTTTGTGATTAGGTCTAGTTCATGGTGAACCACTAGTGGAGGGTCAATGATATTTGGTATGCTGATGTATTAGCATTGGCACATCTCATTACCATGGAGATTATTTGGCCCCGCCCCCTCAGTCAAGGTCTATTGACTTTGAAACTTTTCATAGTTTACATGTATTAGTTTGTGATTAGGTCAATTTATGGGGTACCAGTAGTGGTAGGTCAATGATATTTGGTATGCAGTTGTATAAGCATTGGCATATCTCGTTTCCATGGAGATTATTTGGCTCAGCCCCCTTAGTCATGGTCTATAGACTTTGAGAATTTTGCTATGTTAACATGTATTACATTGTAGTTTGTGATTAAGTCAGTTCAAGGGTAACCATTAGTGGTAGGCCAATGTTAATTGGTGTTCAGTTGTATAAGCATTAGCACATCTCATTTCCATGGAGAATATTTGGCCCCGCCCCCACAGTCATGGTCTATTGACTTTGAAACTTTTGCTTAGTTTACATGTATTAGTTTGTGATTAGATCAGTTTAAGATGAACTGCTAATGTTAAGTCAATGATATTTGGTATGCAAATGTATTGGCATTTGCAAGTATTGTTTCCATGGAGATTATATAGCCCCATCCCTGATCATGGTTCATTGACTTTGTAACTTTTACATAGTTTACAAGTTAATTTTTGTTTTAAGTTTGTTTAAAGGGAACACCTTATAATAAGTCAATGGTATTTGGTATGCAGTTGTATTAGCATTGGCACATCTCATTCCATGGAGATTGTTTAGCCATGTACCTTCAGTCATGGTTCATTGACTTTGAATATTTGCATAACTTACATGTTAAAGTATTGCTATTTTAATTTCAACATTTGCATTATCAAAATACAAAAAGGCGAGACATATCTCTGTGAAAACAGTTTATTAGTAAATGCATCGCTTGGCTGCCACATTCAGTGGCGTAGCTACCTAAGGCTCGACTAGGCATGTGCCTATACATAAATTTACCAATTATATACCCCTTTGGAATAAAAAAAAAAAATACACATTGTAATTCTAATGCGTATTATTATTTATATTATTTATCCGTATTCAAACACCGATCTGTACCCTTCGGTGCATAGGATTATTTTGATTTTATTGACAATGCCCGTTTCATCGGCAACTAGTGAAAGATCCTTCAGTGCGATGCGACGCATCAAGTCCTACCTGAGATCGGAGATGAGCGACTTTCTAATCTATCCCTTCTTCATACCCACCCACACCTCAATGTTGATGTTGATGAGAGTATAACTGATATTATTGGCAGAAAAAAAACGTTGACTTGACTTTGAATAAGTGTATCATTGACTTTGTGTATGAAACTGGATCTGAAAGTTATTCATAATTAAAAGTTCAGAAATTTTAGATTTGTTTAACCGATTTTCCCCAATGAGTTAAAAGATTCGTTCGAAAAAGTTGAAAATCGTTTCCCTTCACCCTCTGTGGGCCTTAAGCTTAAAATAGTCCAAATAAATTTTCGCCTCGCTCTCTGCACGCTAATAACACTTGCAACAACTCTTTGAGGGGTCTGCTGAAAGGCAAAATATCTGTCCCTATCCAATAAAGATCAATAAACCCTAATTTTCCAATGGCATTTTCAAAAGTTCAGACCTTCATCCTGGACAACCCCTATTACAGGACCTAGTGGCTAACTGTTGTATTTACTAGTATCGTAAATTTGTTTTTGTCCTGATCATGCAAAACTATTTGCCACTGGATGTTTAGCAATAAATCAATCAACTATCTTCCAGTAATCTCAGGTCTGCGTGTAATGACCACATTAATTCAAATTCCTAAGCAGGTAGGGATTTTACAGTAGATGATATAAGAAAATATGAATTTCTTGAATATTGTTACGATAGTATGAACAGAACAGAACTTCTGCATTAGGCATCGACTGTGTGTGTGTTTGTGTGGCTGGGGTGAAGGTTTAAGAATCAAAAGATCAATGGTTCAGGTTGTTGTCTACCCCAAAGCATAGTATTATTATATAGTAATCTCAGTGTTTACGTGCCTATTTTTAGCTCACCTGGCCCGAAGTAATTTTAAGGAAATTTTGCAGTTTTTGGTTATAATCTTGAATATTATTATAGATAGAGATAAACTGAAAACAGCAATAATGTTCAGCAAAGTAAGATCTACAAATAAGTCAACATGACCTAAATTGTCAGTTGACCCCTTAAGGAGTTATTGCCCTTTATAGTCAATTTTTAACCATTTTTCAAAAATTTTAGTAATCTTTTAAAAAATCTTCTCCTCTGAAACTACTTTGACAAATTTAACCAAACTAGGCAATCATCATCTTAAGGGTATGTAGTTTTAAAAATGTGTCCAATGACCCCATCCACAAACCAAGATGGCCGACATGGCTAAAAATAGAACATAGGGGTAAAATGTAGATTTTGGCTTATATCTCTGAAACCAAAGCATTTAGAGCAAATCTGACTGTGGTAAAACTGTTTATCAGGTCAAGATCTATCTGCCCTGAAATTTTCAGACAAATCGGACACCCTGTTGTTGGGTTGCTGCCCCCGATTTAGTAATTTTAAGGAAATTTTGCAGTTTTTGGTTATAATCTTGAATATTATTATAGATAGAGATAAACTGAAAACAGCAATAATGTTCAGCAAAGTAAGATCTACAAATAAGTCAACATGACCTAAATTGTCAGTTGACCCCTTAAGGAGTTATTGCTCTTTATAGTCAATTTTTAACCATTTTTCAAAAATTTAAGTAATCTTGTAAAAAAATCTTCTCCTCTGAAACTACTTTGACAAATTTAACCAAACTTGGCAATCATCATCTAAAGGGTATGTAGTTTTAAAAATGTGTCCAATGACCCCATCCACAAACCAAGATGGCCGACATGGCTAAAAATAGTATATAGGGGTAAAATGCAATTTTTGGCTAATATCTCTGAATTCAAAGCATTTAGAGCAAATCTCATTCATTAAAATATGTTCATTAAGTCAAGATCTAACTGCCCTGAAATTTTCAGACAAATCAGGCAACCTGTTGTTAGGTTCCTGCCCCTGAATTGGTAATTTTAAGAAAATTTTGCAGTTTTTGGTTATTATCTTCAATATTATCTTAGATACAGATAAACTGTAAACAGCAATTATGTATAGCAAAGTAAGATCTACAAATAAGTCAACTTGACCAAAACGGTCAATAAGGAGTTATTGCTTTTTATAGTAAATTTTAAACAATTTTCGTAAATTATGTAAATTTTTGTAAACTTTTACAAAATATTTTCCTTTGAAACTACTGAGCCAAGTTCATTATAGATAGAGAAAATCGAAACAGCAAGAATGTTCAGTAAAGTAAGATTGACAAACACATCATCATCACCAAAACATAATTTTGTCATGAATTCTATTCTCATCTATTATGTATGTCCTTTGTTTAGTATGAACATAGACCAAGGTGAGCGACACAGGCTCTTTAGAGCCTCTAGTTTTGTACTTATATCAGGCCATTAGTTTTCTTGTTTGAATTATTTTACTATGGTAATTTTGGAGCCTTTTATCTATGACCATGTTCTGTGACTTAAAGTAGTTTATTTCTGTGCCATTTGGTCTCTTGTTGAGATTTGTCTCATTGGCAATCATTCCACATCTTTTTTATAATCATTTACCAATTATTCAAAATTGATTAAACTAAACTTTACATATGAATGGCTGATTAAACTTAAACATGCATACTTTAGGGATAACAAATGTTATTTTTACTTTTCAGTATGTTGAGAGAAGTTCAGAACAAGCAATTTGGTTGAAGAGGAGTTGTCAACACGTCATCTTTGAATAAGGTCAATTGTATTAGAAGTGAATCCTTAACAGAAATGAGACAATAATCAAACAATTCAAAGACTACATGGATGTTATCTGGACTAGCATTTGTATGACCTAAATGTGGTATTTTTCATATGAACACTTACAAGGCAGATACTAGTCTGTGACAAACATTTGTATGCAATTAAAGACTGAAGAACTAATGTACGGTATTCTTCAGATTTCAGTAGAATTTGTTTAAAACAGTACATTCTTGGTATGAATTGAAGAATTTTTGCTCATTTAAATGAATTATGAAAATGTTTTATATGTTTAGAATAAACAAAAAACAACATAAAAGATAGACAAATTTTTATTTTCTTTCTTGAAACTTATAACAGAATAAATTGTCATATGCTAATTCTTGATAGATGTGCTGCCAGAAATTTATCAAGTCTATTTTAAGCCTGAAAGTGCAACTCAATGCACAGTTATACACACAGGAAACTACATTTATCTCTCAACCATATAAAAAATAAGGATATATGGAAGGGTTGCCAATGAGAGTAACTATCCTTAAATGCCAATGATATCTTATAAAATATCTAATAAACTATTTAAGATATCTAATAAACTATATAAGATATCTCATTTACTATATAAGATATCTCATATAATTTTATAAGATATCTCACATATTATATAAGATATCTTATATAGTTTATAAGATATCTCATATAGTTTTTAAGATATCTCATAAAATTTATAAAATATCTTTTAAAATATATGAGATATCTTATAAAATTCAGAAGATATCTTATAAAGTATGTAATATATCTTATATACTTTATGAGATATCTTATATAATATATAAGATATCTATATCTTATATAATAAATAAGATATCTCATTTGATATATAAGATAATGTATAAAAATGAAATTATATGCTATCTTATATATTAAATAAGATATCTTATACATTAAATAAGATATCATATATTAGATATCTTATATATTATATAACATATCTTATATATTATATGAGATATCTTGAAATTCAAATAAATATAGTAAAATGACTTTCCACCTAAGAACAATTCATTGTTAAATAGATATAAGAATATGTGGTATGAGTGCCAATGAGGCAACTCTCAATCCAAGTCATAATTTGAAAAAGTAATGATTAAAGACTAAAATTGAGAATGGAAATGGGGAATGTGTCAAAGAGACAACAACTCGACCATAGAGCAGACAACAGCTGAAGGCCACTAATGGATCTTGAATGCAGCTAGAAACTCCCGCACCCTAATGCTTCCTTCAGCTGGCCCCTAAACATATATACTAGTTCAGTGATAATGGACATCATACTAAACTCCTAATTATACACAAGAAACTACAATTGAAAATCATACAAGAGTAACAAAGGCCAGAGGCTCCTGACTTGGGACAGGCACAAAATTGTGGCGGGGTTAAACATGTTTTTTGGAGATCTGAACTCTCCCCTTATACCTCTAGCCAATGTAGAAAAAAAAATCGAACAAAAATACGCACAGTGAAACTCAGTTTAAGAGTTGTCTGAGTTCCATGTCAGAATATGAAACAAAAGAAAATAAACAAAATGACAATAATACATAAATAACAACAGACTACTAGCAGTTACTGACATGCCAGCTCCAGACCTCAATTAAACTGATTGAAAGATTGTCTTTTTACATTTTCATATCTTTCTGGTTTAACTTTATAGTTGAGTTGCTGTCACACTGTGTTTACCGGAATGCCACATGTTCTTCAATCCTTAAGAAAACCATCAAGAATTTCAAAACTAGATATATTTTACAGAGAAGTTATTTCACTTCTTAACACAGGTAACTTGGAATAAAGGTTTTTGATATTATTTCACTTCTTACCACAGGCAACTTGGAATCAAGGTTTTTGTTATTATTTCAGTTGTAACATAAAAATTATTTTCAGTGACTGACATGAAAAACATGACAACGTTATGTATCAGTTAGCATTGGATACTTGTGTATACGTATGACGAAGTTAAGCCGCGCTCTGTGTTTGGGGTTCACAGATACTATACCTCCCTTTTAGGTATAGGAACGTCCCCCGATCATACGTATCAAGTATCCATTCTTACTGGTACGTTAAACTGGGAGTGAGGTGGCTCAGTTTGACTGATGTGCGATGGCTCAGTCAAAATATTTTTTGCCATTCCTGGCACAAACTGAGAGCGAGGTGGCTCAGTCTGCATGTGAAGCTCTGTAACATGCTTTTAATTGTAAAAAGTATTTTATTTGTTTTTATCCAAATTTTAATTGGGGATATTTTATTGTTTTTACTGGAACAAATGAGAGTGAGGTGGCTCAGCCTGCATGTGAAGCTCTGTAACATGCTTTCAAGGGGAAAAAAGTATTTTATCCAAATTTTAATTGGGGATATTTTACTGTTTTTATCCAAATTTTAATTGGGGATATTTTATTGTTTTTACAAGAAAAAACTGAGAGTGAGGTGGCTCAGCCTGCATGTGAAGCTCTGTAACATGCTTTTAAGGGGAAAAAAGTATTTTATTTGTTTTTATGCAAATTTTAATTGGGGATATTTTACTGTTTTTATCCAAATTTTAATTGGGGATATTTTATTGTTTTTACTGCAACAAACTGAGAGTGAGGTGGCTCAGTCTGCATGTGAAGCTCTGTAACATGCTTTTAAGGGGAAAAAGTATTTTATTTGTTTTTATCCAGATATTTTACTGTTTTTATCCAAATTTTAATTGGGGATATTTTACTGTTTTTATCCAAATTTTAATTGGGGATATTTTACTGTTTTTATCCAAATTTTAATTGGGAATATTTTACTGTTTTTACTGGAACAAACTGAGAGTGAGGTGGCTCAGTCTGCATGTGAAGCTCTGTAACATGCTTTTAAGGGGAAAAAAGTATTTTATTTGATTTTATGCAAATTTTAATTGGGGATATTTTACTGTTTTTATCCAAATTTTAATTGGCGATATTTTATTGTTTTTATCCAAATTTTAATTGGGGATATTTTACTGTTTTATCCAAATTTTAATTGGGGATATTTTATTGTTTTTACTGGAACAAACTGAGAGTGAGGTGGCTCAGTCTGCATGTGAAGCTCTGTAACATGCTTTTAAGGGGAAAAAGTATTTTATTTGTTTTTATCCAAATTTTCATTGGGGATATTTTACTGTTTTATCCAATTTTAATTGGGGATATTTTATTGTTTTTACTGGAACAAACTGAGAGTGAGGTGGCTCAGTCTGCATGTGAAGCTCTGTAACATGCTTTTAAGGGGAAACAAGTATTTTATTTGTTTTTATGCAAATTTTAATTGGGGATATTTTACTGTTTTTATCCAAATTTTAATTGGGGATATTTTATTGTTTTTACTGGAACAAACTGAGAGTGAGGTTGCTCAGTCTGCATGTGAAGCTCTGTAACATGCTTTTAAGGGGAAAAAAGTATTTTATTTGATTTTATGCAAATTTTAATTGGGGATATTTTACTGTTTTTATCCAAATTTTAATTGAGGGATATTTTACTGTTTGTATCCAAATTTTAATTGGGGATATTTTACTGTTTTTATCCAAATTTTAATTGAGGGATATTTTACTGTTTTTACTGGAACAAACTGAGAGTGAGGTGGCTCAGTCTGCATGTGAATCTCTGTAACATGCTTTTAAGGGGAAAAAAGTATTTTATTTGTTTTTATCCAAATTTTAATTGGGGATATTTTACTGTTTTTATCCAAATTTTCATTGGGGATATTTTACTGTTTTTATCCAAATTTTAATTGAGGGATATTTTACTGTTTTTATCCAAATTTTAATTGGGGTAATTTTACTGTTTTTATCCAAATTTTAATTGGGAATATTTTACTGTGTTTACTGGAACAAACTGAGAGTGAGGTGGCTCAGTCTGCATGTGAAGCTCTGTAACATGCTTTTAAGGGGAAAAAAGTATTTTATTTGATTTTATGCAAATTTTAATTGGGGATATTTTACTGTTTTTATCCAAATTTTAATTGGCGATATTTTATTGTTTTTCTCCAAATTTTAATTGGCGATATTTTAATTGGCGATATTTTATTGTTTTTACTGGAACAAACTGAGAGTGAAGTGGCTCAGTCTGCATGTGAAGCTCTGTAACATGCTTTTAAGGGGGAAAAGTATTTTATTTGTTTTTATCCAAATTTTAATTGGGGATATTTACTGTTTTATCCAAATTTTAATTGGGGATATTTTACTGTTTTTATCCAAATTTTAATTGGGGATATTTTACTGTTTTTATCCAAATTTTAATTGGGGATATTTTACTGTTTTTATCCAAATTTTAATTGGGGATATTTTATTGTTTTTACTGGAACAAACTGAGAGTGAGGTGGCTCAGTCTGCATGTGAAGCTCTGTAACATGCTTTTAAGGGGAACAAAGTATTTTATTTGTTTTTATCCAAATTTTAATTGGGGATATTTTACTGTTTTTTCCAAATTTTAATTGGGGATATTTTATTGTTTTTACTGGAACAAACTGAGAGTGAGGTGGCTCAGTCTGCATGTGAAGCTCTGTAACATGCTTTTAAGGGGGAAAAGTATTTTATTTGTTTTATCCAAATTTTAATTGGGGATATTTTACTGTTTTTATCCAAATTTAATTGGGGATATTTTACTGTTTTTATCCAAATTTTAATTGGGGATATTTTACTGTTTTTATCCAAATTTTGATTGGGGATATTTTACTGTTTTTATCCAAATTTTGATTGGGGATATTTTACTGTTTTTATCCAAATTTTGATTGGGGATATTTTACTGTTTTTATCCAAATTTTGATTGGGGATATTTTACTGTTTTTATCCAAATTTTAATTGGGGATATTTTATTTTATCCAAATTTTAATTGGGGATATTTTACTGTTTTTACTTGAACAAACTGAGAGTGAGGTGGCTCAGTCTGCATGTGAAGCTCTGTAACATGCTTTTAAGGGGAAAAAAGTATTTTATTTGTTTTTATCCAAATTTTAATTGGGGATATTTTACTGTTTTTATGCAAATTTTAATTGGGGATATTTTACTGTTTTTATCCAAATTTTAATTGGGGATATTTTACTGTTTTTACTGGAACAAACTGAGAGTGAGGTGGCTCAGTCTGCATGTTGCTCTCTAACATGCTTTTAAGGGGAAAAAAGTATTTTATTTGTTTTTATCCAAATTTTAATTTGGAATATTTTTATTGTTTTTACTGGAACAAACTGAGAGTGAGTTGGCTCTGTGAGTGAGGTGAGTCTGCATGTGAATCTCTGTAACATGCTTTTAAGGGGAAAAAAGTATTTTATTTGTTTTTATCCAAATTTTAATTGGGGATATTTTACTGTTTTATCCAAATTTTAATTGGGGATATTTTACTGTTTTATCCAAATTTTAATTGGGGATATTTTACAGTTTTATCCAAATTTTAATTGAGGATATTTTATTTTATCCAAATTTTAATTGGGGATATTTTACTGTTTTTACTGGAACAAACTGAGAGTGAGGTAGCTCAGTCTGCATGTGAATCTCTGTAACATGCTTTTAAGGGGAAAAAAGTATTTTATTTGTTTTTATCCAAATTTTAATTGGGGATATTTTACTGTTTTTATCCAAATTTTAATTGAGGGATATTTTACTGTTTGTATCCAAATTTTAATTGGGGTTATTTTTCTGCATTTATCCAAATTTTAATCGGATATTTTATTGTTTTTATCTAAATTTTAATTAGGAATATTTTACTGTTTTTATCTAAATTTTAATTGGAGATATTTTACTGTTTTTATCCTAATTTATAAGTTGAGGCAGGTCATTTTATGATTATTTGGGAAATGAGAGACTTTTTACATTATTTTATCCATTTGGGTGTGGGGGACAAAGGGAATATTTTACTTTTAAGACCAAATTTTTAATTTATACAGGAGACCTTTTTTTTTATCTTTTTTAGTTAAATGTTGAGCCCCCAAGTCAAATCAAAGACTTAAAAACTGGTACTCCAAAAGGAAAAGATAGGTGACCTACTGTGGGCATTTGTCTTGGTGAACTAGCACCTTAAAGTCCAGCTAACCCACAGGCCGGCTGGCTAGTACAAGCAGACAGGTATTTTTAATACCATTTGGCATTTTTAAACTTTGGCATTTTTCATTTGGCTTTTTGTTTTATGTGTTTTTGAACTATTTGGATTTATACCATTTGGCAATTTTCATTTATGTTTTTTTCATTTTTTTCAACATATTTTGTAATCAACACACCAAAAACACTTCAAAATTAAGAGTGGGATATATACTTTTTGGCCTCCATAATGTTTATCAATCAAAACAGCATTCTATTTTCAAATTTACATTACACAATTTGGCTTTCTGTAACGTTGGCTGTTAATCTTTTGTACGAATGCTATGATGACCATTATGTGTAGAAAATAAGACTACATTTCTAAAAGTGGCTCAGGTTCATATATTTATGTTTGATATCAATCAGTTCTAAATTTCCTTCACATTTCTAAAATTTAAGATCTTCCATATCTGGTACATCTTATAATATCGTATTCATCTACTAACCCAATTTTCTCATAGGGACTTAACACGAAGCAGAAGGGGTATTAGGTGGTAGGTGGTTAAGGGTGTTATGATAGGGTGAAAGGGTGAGAGAGGGAGGGAGAAAAATAGAATGATGGAGAGGGTGAGGGTATATGATTGTGAGCGGAATATAGAGAGGGAGTTAATCTGTGAGAGAATGTGATTTGATAGTAAGGGCAGGGTGTACTGGTCTGGAAGTATAGTTTTTGTTTTATCTCATGTAGTTTCTGTTTTCTACATCAATCTGATAAGTTTAAATATTGAGAAATTGCTGTCGTCTAAAAGTTCACAGGTTAACAGCCTTTCTTGTTACTGTTTATGTGCTGCTTATATATAAACATTGTAGCACTTCTCAGTAGCTAGATAGAGTTGTGGCTTTTCATCAAATTAAGCAGCAGCTTCTGTACAGTTCATGTTGGAATGATACCAAGTGCTGTGTTTTTCTTCCAAGTTGAGAACATTTTTGATCTTCATGAACTAGCAATTACACATGATGAAGCTTTTATGGCCCCGCAACAAATATGGCCTCGCAACAAAGCTGTCGGGGCCATATAGTTTTACCCTTGTCTGTCATTCCATCATTCCGTCAATCCATCTTTCCATCATTCTGTCATTCCGTCATTCTGCAACAAACCATTATACGGGTTTTTTTTTCTAAATGCCTTCAGATATTAGGCTGATTTTTGGTATGTGAGTTCACCATGATGAGTTTTAGATGAAGTATTAGTTTCGCTCTGCTCCGCTAATTTTTGCCAAAATTACAGGCTTTAGACTTCGATAAATTGTTGAAAATCACAGTTATACAGACTTTTTTTTCTAAAGGCCTTCAGATATTGGGCTGATTTTTGGTATGTGAGTTAACCATGATGAGTTACAGATCAAGTTTGAGTTTTGTCCTGCTCTACTATTTTTGCAGAAATTACGGGCTTTGGACTTCGATAAATTGTTGAAAATCACAGTTATACAGGTTTTTTTCTAAACGCCTTCAGATATTGGGCTGATTTCTGGTATGTGAGTTAACCATGATGAGTTACAGATCAAGTTTATGTTTAGTTCCGCTTTGCTAATTTTCCCCAAAATTACAGGCTTTGAACTTTGATAAATGGTCGAAAATCACAGTTAAATGGAGTTTTTTTAAAGCCTGAAGATTTTGAGCAGAATTTTGATATGTGAGACTACCATCATGTTTGTGTTCACATGTGTTGTTGAAATTGCAGATTTTTCAACTTTTTGAGACGGGGCCATTTGTGTCGTTTGGACAAATCTAGTCTTTTTTTGCAACATGTTTTTTTTATCAACACAACCAAAACATTTCAAAATTAAATATACACTTTTGACATTCATAATGATTATCAATTATTTTCAAATTTACATTAAATAATTAAATAACTTTAGTATAAGTAAATAGAAATGTATGAAATTTGAACACAAGGTTTATAACCACACAAGAAAGGTTGGGGTTGATTTAAGGGGTTGTGGTCCCAACAGTTTAGGTATTTAAGGAGGCAAAAAGGGGCCCAAAAAACATTTTTCTAGTTTCCAGACAATAACTTGTGGAACATTGTATGGATCTCTCTGAAATTATACCACGATTTTCCATTCCTCAAAAGGATGGTTCGGATTGGCTTTTGAGGGTTATAGCTTAAACCAATTAGGAATTGGGGGGAAAACAATGATTTCCTGTTTGATGGACTATTACTTATTTAAGTACATGAATGTTACGTTTGAATTACATCCCTTACACTACTTTTAAATCATGTATAACGAAATGTATTGTCTTGAGGTGATTTGCTGCCAATTTGTTTTTAGAAAAAAGTAAAATCACAAAAATACTAAACTCTGAGAAAAATTCAAAACGGAAAGTCCCTAATCAAATGGCAAAATCAAAAGCACAAACACATCAAATGAATGGATAACAACTATCATATTCTGACTTGGTACAGGCACTTTCTTATGTAGAAAATGGTGGATTGAGCCTGCTTTTATAACTAGCTAAACCTCTCACTTGTATGACAGTCACATCAAATTCCATTATATTGACAACGATGTGTGAACAAATCAAACAGACATAACAGGTGAAAATGTCAAAAATACAGCCATCAAGAGAGAACTAACTGTTTTAAAAAAGAATTTTATGATGTATTTAAATGGGTAATTATGGTTGCAAATTCTATTTGGAATTTTAAATTTTAAATTTTAGATTACAGAAATTTCAGAAATTAAAAAGACATTTTCTTTAAATATAATTTATTTTTGCCAAAAAAAAAAGGGGAGGTGTCAATAAACAACAGCATAATAGTGTATTGCACAAGAGCAAAAAAAAATGAGGGGTCAATACGCAACAGCATAGTGTATTGCACAAAAGCAAAGCTTAAGGGGTGTATTTTTTTGGGTAGGGGGGTCAATTCGCAACAGCATAGTGTATTGCATATAAGCCAAAAAAATTAATATAAATTGAAACATATAACCAATTCTAAGTTCCTTGACTACAGTTATTCTCTGTCAGAATCCTATTATGTGTCAAATATTTAATTACAATCCATATTCAGACCCAAGCGCGAATATTGTTTCCATTTTTGCCCCAACTGTTTATGGTAGGACCTCCGCAGTCGTATCTAGCTGCGCTCAGCGAAGCAATTTATTATTTTTGAAATGTTTTGTAGGAATTCTGCTTCACAGAAATACAAAACAAGTCGGTCATTAGGGATGACCAATAAGTACCCATAAGTGAGACTATAAAACATAACAAGGTTGAGAAAATTAAATTTAATTGGTACATTATAAACCTATAATAATGTAAGCTCTGTACAGCTTTTTACCAACGAACAAATAAAAGGCGTATACAATTCATGTAAACAATTTAAGACATGCAAATAAAATAAAATGCATATCAATGTGAAAGCATTATTAAGTGAAACAAGATGTCACAGTGCTCATGATTATAAGCAACACTGAAAAAAGCACAGTTAAATTGAGCGCAGAGCCGGAATATAAAAGTAAAAACAAAGCAAAGAAGAAAAATATAAAGTAACGATGATAAAAGTATGTATGCAGTACCAGTGCAGATCCAGAAATTTTGATAAAGGGGGTGGTAGTGGCCAAGAGGGGGCCCACTCCAGTCATGCTTCAATGATCCCTAAATAACTTAGTCAAACAAATTTTCCTACAAAGGGGACCGGGACCCCTGTCCCCCACTTAATACGCCTCTGAGTACAAGTCATATTTTATGCCCATTATAGAATGACACGATTTCCCCGCTATAAATAACATTATCTTTAGTTTAGAATAAACAGTGTTTTCACAAGGTTCAGTTACAATTCATATTACATATAGATTTTTCTTTTAAATAATCATAACAGATATAAGTTTTAAGAATGTTCTAATTTACGAAAACAGGTTTGGTATTTGAATGTTAAATAAAACTGTTATTATAATAATTTCCCAAAATAAAACCTTCCTCATTCAAAATATCTCTGATCATTGGCTATCGAACGGAGCAACTGGAGTACTTCTGTTTATTAAACAAAACCAACCGGAAGTTAGGTTGTTGTCGTGACTTTTCTACCAAAGTGCAATATTGTTGTGTGATTTTACTTTATTCACGTGCTTTAGATGGATGACAACACAAATTACTATCAAGATAGATAAACAGAAGTTAAATTTTATTTACAATTTAAGTATTCAAATATTGTATGCTTTGTCATTACATAATTCAACCGACTTGATCTACAACAACCTTTTATCGGGAACCAGGTTCTGTATAAACCAACATCCTACAGACACTTGGCTGGCCAACACTAGCAACACGCAGACAAGGAGTCAGGCTCATACTCCTGTATAAGATCCTGCATGGAGAAGCATCAGTCATTATCCCAGATTACATCAGGAGACCAACTCTAACAACCAGACAATAGTCAATACCACAGCCACAGAGACCGGTTTTCCAGAGTCAGCACTTCAACGGATGCCTATAAATACAGTTTCATCCCCAGAACAAATTTTTGACTGGAACCAATTACATGAAAGTGCCATCCAAGCCCCCACAACAGACGCCTTCCGGGTCTGTGTGTGGCAGTTCCTGGCGTAACTATTGATACCTGATTTTAACCCTGTATAGACTATAGTTGTTGCAAACTCACATAATTTTATTTGATTTTGTTCCTGTAAATACACAAGTTTTTTTTTATTTTTAACTTTGCGAGTACTGGTTGACACACCCGCACAGTATATCTGTGTTATGGAAATTTCAACTGCAGATTAACCACAAAATATAGAAGAAGAAGTACAATAAACACTAGACAACAGGAATGACAGGATATATCTTTTGGGGGGTAAATGGTTAAAACTAGATATAAACAGATTAACTTACTAATGTTCTATTATATACTGGTAAAGTTCTAGGGTATCAGGTTGTTCTGGCCCAAAATCAATCTGGCCCCAAAACAATTTGGTTAATTACACTGTGACCAATATTTACGACGGAAGCTCGATCAAATGTCGACAGCCCATTTATGGTATTCAACAACTCATTGGTCAGAGTTCTAGTCAAATCAGTATCCGGTCAAATCGGCACCCGGTATAGTCAAATCAGCACCTAGTCAAATTGGCACCTAGTTAAATGGCACCTGATGTAGTCTTTAGGCACACGTGATAAATATATTTAACTGCAAACATTTTTTTTGGACTGTATAATGGTATGATGTCGTCGTCTGCGTTGTCCGATAACACATTTGGTTTCCGGACAATAACTTTAGTTTACATGAATGGATCTCTTTGAAATTTAATAAGAAGGTTCAATACCACAAAAGAAAGGTTGGGATTGATTTTGGGGTTGATGGTCCCTCCGGTTTAGTAATAAGAGGCCCAAAAAGGCCCCAAAACAAGCATTTTTCTACTTTCAGGATAATAACTTGTGTATAAGTATTTCAATTGCTCTGAAATTGTACCATAATGTTTAATACCACAAGTAAAAGGTTTGGATTCATTTTGCGGTCTATGGTGTCAACAGTTAAGAATTAAGGGCCCAAAAGGGGCCAAAAACAAGCATTTTTGTAGTTTCTGGACAATAACTTGTGTGTAAGTGTATAGATCTCTCTTATATTGTACCACAAAGTTCCATATCACAAAAGGAAGACTTAGATTGTTTGGGCGTTATTGTCCCATTCATGCAAGAATTAGGGGCCATAAAAGGGCCAAAAATAAGCATTTTTCTAGTTTCCAGACAATAACTTGTTGTAGTTTACAGTCAATAACTTGTGTTTAAGTGTATAAATCTCTCTGAAATTATACCACAAGATTGCATACTACAAAGGGATAGTTATTGGGGGTTATGGCTTAAATCATTTTTCTCATTTCAGATTTTATACCACAAGATTCCATACTACAAAGGGATAGTTATTGGGGGTTATGGCTTAAATCATTTTTCTCATTTCAGATTTCTTTAAATATTTTTTTTTGAGGGGATTAATATTCAACAGCATAGTGTATTTTTTTTAAGTTCATTAGACTACCAGAAACCTATGCTGTGTCAACTATTTAATCACAATCCAAATTCAGAGCTGTATCAAACTTGAATGTTGTGTCCATACTTGTCCCAACTGTTCAGGGTTCGACCTCTGCAGTCGTATAAAGCTGCACCCTGAGGAGCATCTGGTTACTTTATGTTTACATTAATATTTGAAGATTTGAACAAATCAAAGGGGAAACCAGGCATTATCTTGCATAATATGAAAAAGAAGATGTGGTACGATTGCCAATGAGACAACGAGCCACAAGAGACCAAATGACACAGAAATTAACAGCTACGGGTCACCTTACGACCTTTAACAATGAGCAAAGCCAATACATATAAGTTCTTTCAGTAATTTAACATGGCCTAAATACCTGTGCTTACCATGATAAAAAGTTGAATAATGGAGATAAAGGGTATAATATATCAATGAGACAGCAACTTAATGACACAAAAAGTAAGAAGACATTTAAATATCAACACCAAAGCATCAAAGTCCATTTGGATTGTATCTAAAAACCACAGGGTTAAGATTTTAAATACCTGGTTAAACTGTTGTATAACATTTCAAATACTGTTAATACAGAAATTATTGTATGGTTTTTATATTGTGAATGACATGTTTTTTTTTACTGACCCTGGTTATCCATGAGGGTCTTTCATGGTCGTATATGTGAATAATGTATCTGGGTGGGTATCACCAGGTGTATATGTATACACAATGCGGTAGGGGGTCTGGGGCCGCATAAGGCCCCTGGTAAGGGGTTCTGGGGGCATAGCCCTCCGACGGAAAACGGTTTTCAGCATTTAAGTTGCAAAATTTGTGTACAAAAAAACATAAAAAAACGTCATTTTATCATGATAATATACATGAAAACAATGTCGAAAAAAAAACAAAATTCTACAATTACATCTGACTGATGAATTAACCGGCAGTACAATCGGAAATATAAAAAAAAACAATATTTCAAATATGCATTGCCCAGCGTGGATCAGCGTAGCCCTTTATTAAGCAGCACAACTTGTTTCTGATTGAGTATAATTGATATATACGTCAATTGATAGTACATATTGACGATCCTTCATTAAAAAAAAAAAAATAGGCACGTAAACACTGAGACTACTACATAATAATACTAACTTTTGGAATACGGTGCATCGACCATTCATATTTTGATTCTTAAACCTTCACCCTCCCCCGGCCACACAAACACATACACACACACAGTCAATACGTCATGCAGAAGTTCTGTTCTGTTCATACTACCGGTGTCTAACAAAATTCAAGAAATTCATATTTTCTTATATCATGTACTGTAAAATCCCTACCTGCTTAGGAATATGAATAATTATCATCATTACATGTAGATCTGAGAGTACTCGAAGTTACTGAAAGCTAGTTGATTGATTGATTGATTGATTGATTGATTGATTGATTGATAGACGTCCAGTGGCAAATATTCATGCATGTTCAGGACTAAAACGGATAGAGGTCGTCCAGGATGAAGGTCTGGAAATTTGGAAATGCCATGCATTGGAAAATGAGGGTTTATTAAATAGGAACAGAAATTTGCCTTTCAGTAGATGACTTCTAACCCCTCAAAGAGTTGTTTCAAGTGTCTTAACGTGCAGAGAGCGTGGCATTCTCTCTTCACTAGAGATTGAACTTGGGCCAACAACAACTAATTAAAAAAAATCATTATCTAAGTTGAGGTTCATTCAAGTATTTGTTGATTGAAGTGAATGATCTGAACCAAAGTTCTAGTTTATAGTTTCTATATTAGGTGGAATATAATGACATACAGTTCCAATACGCCACTGATTCAATAAGGATGATAGACTAGTGTACGCATGACATTCGATAATTAAAGAGTTTTGACGAATTCGCATGCATCTACAGATAACATTGTTTATTACTTTTTTAAATAAAAAAATTATTTGTGAAAAAATTATGTGTAGGCTCATGCCTAAAGTGCCTAACGGCAGCTACGCCCCTGACTGCAGTTTATTACGTTTATTATATGCATTAAATTATAATTACTTTTTCATGTGATAGAAAAACTTTATAAAGTCATAAAGTAAAGATTATGTGAAATTATCTAATTGGTTTTTTCAGGAAAGTAACTAAAGTTAACTTAAAGTGCAGTATATCTGTGGACATTTTTTGTTCTGATAGTAATATTTTCTTTCTCTTTCACAATAGATGGATGGTAACTGAATCAATACGAATAGCCTCATTGAATTTGAAAAAAGCTGCAAATGATATCAGTAATAAAAGATTGTTAGTGTGCAGTGTGCAGTGTGCAGACAGTGGTTAAACAGAAGTTAACATTCTATTAGTTTTGGGATTTTACAATCAATGCCAAAATGAATGATAATGCTAGAGGAAATAATAGGAGAAAAAGGGACCTGTGTGGTAAAAACTTCCTAAAAGTCGTCCTTTATGTGTTCAACTTTTTCTTTTGGGTAAGTGTATTTTAAATATATAATTTATATATATGTTTATAGTTATAGAAAAGGCAACTTAAAAAGATATTACAATTTAAATGATTTATTGATTATTGGTTGCTTAGAATCATCCATTGGCAAATATTATATATGCATATTCAGAACTAACTATATAAAGTATAGAATTTGTAAATGTATAATATAAGACATAAGAGAAGATATAGATACATGTTAATTGAATAATCTCCCTTTGTTCTTTGTTCAAATTAAATGAAATTCTTCGTTCATTGTTAACTGTATTCTGTTGCTAGTAAGATTTTATAACCATGCTAACAGGATAAAAGATCCTAATATAAAATTATTTCTAATTTTTCAGCTAACATTGCTAACTTCAAATTACAAAAATATTCCGTTTCCTAACTTTTCTTTATCATGTTCTGTCAATTAATTAAATGTTCTTTAAAATTCAATAGTGTTTTTATGCATGATAAATTCTATATTTCTTTTCCAGCTGACAGCCCGGTTAGCTTTCCTAGCATTAGGGTTATATATCAAGTTCCAGAAGCATTCCTATTTCAATCTGCTAGGGAACAGTACTTTCCCTTTGGCAACATACTAATGCTACTAGGAACAGGAGCCTTTATTATCTTGTCAGGAATCATTTGTTGTACTGGGACATGTATAGAAAATAGATGTTTTATGGTTATGGTGAGTTATTTCCCTTTGAACACATTGTCTACTAAAATAAGAATGTATACCAAAATTAAGTTTTTTAACTTTTCACAAGCAAAGCCAACAATAAATTGAAAAAAAAATCATTTCAGCTAATTCCAATTACATGTTATTTTTAAACTCGACTTATGATTGTAATGGATATTATGTTGTATGGTCTGTTCGTCTGTCAGTCCAAATAGATTTTTAGGTTGTTTACATTGACATTGTGGTCTTATCAACATGAAAATAAGGCCACATGATGTGAAATTACTATGGTATTAGGCCTATTCCACGGTTCACTAAACATTGAAATTATTACATTCTCAAGTTTAGTCATATGAAACGAGTGACTAATGAAAAATAATGTTTATCCAATTCTTGAACCAATGCATGTTTATATCATAAACTTAGTCTTCTGTGCACGATTTTATCATTTTTTACGCAAAGATATCGTTTTTAAATTGTCAATTTTTTTTCTCTCTGTCTGTTATGATCTAACAAATATGGTAGCTCATTAATTGCCGTGTTATGAAGCCGAAGTTTACCGATTGTTACTTTATAGTAAACTATCAACAAAAAAGGATGCAATCTATTGGCGGTTTTATCATAAACATGCTGCTAATAAATGCCTCTTTAATAAGCTAGGTGCATTTTTCTATATTTTTTTTATCTTAGGAAATTACTATTGAAACATTGTTTATCTGTTATCTTGAAATTATCGTTTGAAAAGGATGTTTTTTTTATAGAGATGACTTAAGCCAATCAGAAAGTCAGACTAGAGGTCACATGTCTGGCATTTCATTCTCCTGTATCATATTCTAAAATGTTATGGATAATTAAAACATTGTTGTGATGTCATTCTATTGTTTTACCCGTTCTTTATTTCAGTGATTGGACTATCATTAACCTGTAAGAAACCATTATGTTACCTTTAGCTGTCCAATATTTTTAAGAATAGACCTCCTCTTTCTTAAAAATATTGGACAGCTATAAAGGTAGCATTACTGATTCTTACAGGTAAATGATAGTTCAATCACTGAAATAAAAAAAAAACTATTAATTACCCCAATTGTTTTCATCATGTAAACAAAAATAAAACCAAAGATCAAGTGACAATTAAAAAAACATTTTATTAAAGTCACCTTCCAATACAATAATTTTGTCACTCATCAAAACGGTTTCTTGAGGAAAAAAATCACTTTCAAATTGATTTTTGTCTCGCTTGACGTAGTCAAAAAGCGAGACATAGGTATGCTGTTTCCGGTGGCGACGGCGGCGTCAACAATGTATTAGTTTGTGATTATGTCTAGTTTATGGTGAACCACTAGTGGTAAGTCAAAGATATTTGGTATGCAGTTGTATTAGTATTGGCACATCTCATTACCATGGAGATTATTTGGCCTCACCCCCTCAGTCATGGTCTATTGACTTTGAAACTTTGCTTAGTTTTCATGTATTAGTTTGTGATTAGGTCATTTTATGGGGAACCACTAGTGGTAAGTTAATGATTATTGGTATGCAGTTGTATAAGCATTGGCATATCTCATTTCCATGGAGATTATTTGGCCCCGCCCCCTCAGTCATGGTCTAATAACTTTGAAATTTTTGCTTAGTTTTCATGTATTAGTTTGTGATTAGGTCAGTTTATGGGGAACCACTAGTGATAAGTAAATGATAATTGGTATGCAGTTGTATAAGCATTGGCATATCTCATTTCCATGGAAATTATTTGGCCCCGCCCCCTCAGTCATGGTCAATTGACTTTGAAATTTTGCTTTATTTAAAATGTATTAACTTGTGTTTGAAATTTTGCTTTATTTAAATGTATGAGCTTGTGTTTTAGTATTTTAGTTTTGGTATTTAGTATGCAGTTGTATAAGCATTGGTACATCTCATTTCCATGGAGATTGTTTAGCCATGTACCTTCAGTCATGGTTCAATGACTTTGAGTATTTGCAAAACGTACATGTTAAATAAAGTGTTGCTATTTTAATTTCAACATTTGCATTATCGAAATTACAAAAAAGCGAGACATATCTCTGTGATAACAGTTTATTAACACTACCAATACTTATATCACAGCTATTTTTCTCATGTTTTTGGGTTGTCTCTTTTAGCACTAATTCAATAAGTTGATTATGCTCGTTGTAAGTCTTGTTTTTGTTGCTTTTATGAATTTCTTTTTCCAAAAGATTTATCCTCGTCCGTCTTTAGGTTATCAAAATTGACCTCTGGTGATGCTCTTCCTAACATCATTTTTAACTGCAACTGAAATGAAAAAGGCAATAAAGTAATGCTTCTAAAATTTGATACATCATGCCGCAATACAAGGGTCATGAACATAAAATGGAAGTAATTGTTTACAGTGTTAAATGATATAACCAAAGAAAAGGCTGTTTCATGAAACATAAGTCCCAATAAAGACATATGTTTGGTTCCAGTTTCCCAACTGACTCTATTTTGACCCCAGATCTTAGCATTTCTATTCCCCTTCTGATAAAAATATAAAGAAAGACATATGTCATTGTAAATGTGATATACATGGATTGTTATTGGTTAACTTTATGTTTCTCTACTTTACAAATGTATTATAATATAAATCTATCAAAATTTCAGAATATTCAACATATTCTTTTATAATCCTTTTATAAATTTTTTTTTTATTTGAAAGAAAAATATTAAACAAATGATTTTAATAGTCAATAAAAGAATAATTTTTATTGAATTTTTACTTTATTTTGCTATAAACATGTATTTTCAGGGGTGGTTTACAATTCACCTACCAGATCTAAAAGGTTACAAAGATTTACTCAGTAAAAGTTCCCTAGCAGTCACAAGTAAGTTCATCTTAAGTTGTAGCTATAAGCTTGTCAATATTTGTTTTCTCAGACAGCACATGCTTATTGAAAAATTAAGGTCACTGTTAGGGAAAGTTTGGCCTTTTTCTGCCAAGATGGGGGCAGGCTTAAATTGACAAACACTATCTTATTTTAAATTGCTGGTGATGTGGAAAGTGGTGCTGCCATACCCAATTCTTAAATCACTGAATTAAGATGTGAAAATATTGTAACTTAGCAGAACTTTTTATTTGATTAGATCAGTTACATATAGAAAAATAAAATCAATAGTATAAAACTAAGAAGTAATGCGAAAGTATTATTAGGCATAGAAAGTATAGTGTTAAAATAAGTAACCATCCATTAGTTGACATGAAGGTTTTCTCACCATTACATGTTTACTTCTTGGGGACAAATAGATAAATGATCCAGGGGTAGCTCTATGGTCTTCATATTTAGAGGACAAGTACACAAATAACTGCCAATTAGAATGACAGGGGTTTATCTCAACATATATAGGGAATGATCCTTGTTTGGCTTTTGAAGATTTTTTATGTCGTAGTGGAGGGGGCATTAAGTTTTATCCTTGTCTGTCCGTGTGTACGTCCCCATTTATTTATTTTAAAAACATGTTTATTTAAAGTTAGAATTGGAGATAAGTTCATAATTACATGACTTAAAAGAACTCATTTGGAATATGTCATTTATTGGACCCTGCAAACTAATAGAAAATACAGAGAAATTGTGAAAAAAAATCATGTTGAGTTCTGAAATTTGTTTTTTATGGCAGGTAATTCACTTCTCTGTGAATAGTTTTATTTATAACTTGATATCAGTTATTATGGATGTTGATGACTTGTACAGCTGAAACAAAAAATTAAAAACACAAACTAAAGCCTAAATTTTACTTATAGTTTATATTATTTCATACTTGATATACTCAACCAAAGTACTAAGTAGAAGGTGAAATGAATCGCACATTTTGCAAACTATCAGAGTTCTGTTAAGATTTCAGACAAACCAAGTTCACAAAATTATAAATTTTTATTGAATATGAAGATCTGTTTATTGTCAAAATTATTATTTGCTAATCTGAAGATCTGTTTCCTGAACAAACAGAACCCTTTGAAGAATTTGGTAATATAATTGTTGTACTTATTTTTTTAGTTTGTTTTAAAAAGGTTATTAAATTGATCTTTTTCATGTCATTATTGTGATAAAATTATTGTAATACAATATGCATAATGTGCAGTATACACTTACAAATATAATATAACACATATATGTGTATTTGTTTGCTTGTACTTACTAGAATACATAACTTTAATTTTAAAGAAGATTTCATATACTGGTATATTTTTTTTCACTAAAAACAAAGCAACTGACAGACCATATTCATATTGGAAACATTGTTCACCAAAGCACCATGGAGAAGGTCATGCATACTATCATTCTTTTATTAAGATTGTTATTTGGACTTTATTCCATAGTTTATCATATATAGGTATAGGAAGATGTGGTATGAGTGCCAATGAGACAACTCTCCATCCAAGTTACAATTTATAAAAGTAAACCATTATAGGTCAAGGTACGGCCTTCAACACAGAGCATTGGCTCACACCGAACAGCAAGCTATAAAGGGCCCCAAAAAATTACTAGTGTAAAACCATTCAAACCGAAAAACCAACGGTCTAATCTATATAAAAGCGAGAAACGAGAAACACGTATGAACTACATAAACAGACGCAACTACTGTAATCAGATTCCTGACTTAGGACAGGTGCAAACTTTTGCACTTCTTTGGTTTCCTTCAGTACTAAGGACAATTGATAGTCTTCCCTAAGTTACATTACTGACTGATTTGTCTCATTAACTTTTAAATACTGTTATTTAAAAAAGATGAATAACTCAAATACAAATAATGGACCTAGTAATTACTTTATTTTTGATAAGCAATTTAACTATTTACTATGAATTTATCCTAATAAATCAAATGCCATAAACATTTGATGTGAAATGAAATGTTCCTTTAAATTTTTCCTGATAGGTGACATTTCATTTGAAATTCAGCATACTGTGGATTCATTATTATTCGTTGAATACCAATTTTTGTGGATTTCCTGGGTTCAGGGAAAATTTAAATTTTCAACGAATTACAAATTTTCCATAGGCTTGTATGCAGACTT